GCATGAAGAGCAGGAACAGAAAATGACACTTCACATGCAGAAGGGTCACTGAGGACGGTAGCTTTGACTAACCAAAATCAAAAATCAATAACTCTGATTTTTAGTCAGTTTCCATTATGAAATATCTCAAATAAATGAAAAAAAAATCATGTTAGCCACCAAGGAGACAACGACCACTCAAATGGAAAGCAAAAAAAGAAAATATATATAATATATATACATATATATATATATTAGCCATAGGAGGTCATGAAACGAAGAAATATCATAGCTAACTGACATAGAGATGACTTTTAAGTAGGTTATTGCATAATGATCTAGAGTTTGTGCAGTCCACTAAGGTAAATATGTTTTCCTGAAGCAGTTATCAAACAATCATTGCTTGACTTCCATCACTGCTCAGAACTGTAGCTCCACTTCCAAGAACTCAATACTTTTTGGTCGACCTTTCAAGTCACGTGTACAAGGCGTTCTAGAATCTTATCAGTTACAGGGTGCACCTTTCACAGTCTTCCTTTTCAGCCCAAGAATTTTGCTGTTACTAGAGAATATTTACGTTGATCTAACACCTTATTTATGCCCCATGAAATTCGCTTAAGATGGTGGTTGATAAGCCCTACAAATTCATAATGCTTGTTTCTCTTGTCAAGTCCATTCGTTTAAAGCTAATCAATAATGTATGTACAGCCAATTAATTCAATGTCCCTCCTGTTGTACCTACAACACTACAGAACCATCCACGCACATGAAACAACTCACCCAAACTCTGAGCATGCTAAACAACCAAGAAAAGCGGCTAGCTGAAATATAGTATTATACAATTTCTTGTTTCTGCAAAACCAACACATAATTAGAGAAAAGAACACATGAAGGTGCCTGAATGGCGGTGTTAAACCTTTCACAACAGATTTCCTGGTATCACAACGTTTACCACAACATATGTCAGAAAGAAAATGAGACAACAGAACCAGTACAGTCTTATTTGTTTAAAAAGTAGTGCAGAATTTTGCATGGAGAAATCTCCTTTGTAAGAAAGGGAGATTCAGCAAAAGTGGCACGATTCAGAGGCAGACCCAGGTAAGGCTCCTGCTTCAGTGAGGACTTTCAGGAAAAGGAGTCATTCTGAAAGGAAAAAAACCCTCTAACCCTTCAGGACGCAGCCTTCCTGCTAGAGGAGGGTTAAGGGGAAGCCTTTGTTTGCTCAGCGTGGGGAACATTTAAATTAGTTTCTCCAAGAAGTCTCCCTAATTGGGGCTGGCCTCGCTTGGCCTTCCAGCAACTCCGTGGCCGCTGCAGTGGCTTCCCGCAGCTGGAGCCGTGGTTACAGCAGCCGGGGGCCTCCTCGGCGGGGGCTGGGTGGGCCGGAGCGGCCCACGGCAGCCAGCACCTTCCCCAGCACCAACCGGGGGCCAGGGAACGGCCCGAGCGCCAAGCCCGGCACCGCCGCGCGCCCGGGGCCTCCCGTGACGCCCCCTGTGAACATCTTCCCGTCAGCGCGGCCGCCCAGACGCGGCCGTTAAACCTCTCTCACAGCAATGCACAAAGGATTATTTCCAGAGCTCCACATTAGCCATACTTTAGTGAAGGCTACGGTAAAATAAACGCAAAGGCACTTTTGAAGACACAATAACGTTTTCCCAGCATGAAGCATTATCAGCAGAACATTATCTTCAATACAGTTGAGTCAAAGGGCTATACATGTGGTTTGGGTGCCTTTGAAACGGACTCCATTTACTGTACTCACCTAGAAAAACAGCCTTTTTAAAAAGCAATTTTCTTGTTCTTGTAAATGAAAGTTCTGAACAAATGGGGGAGAAAGGGAGAAGGGAAGACTGGAAAAAAAAACAACCAAAGAGAGAAATCACAAGTCAGTGATCTTATTCCATGCTGGGATACTGTGTGACAACAGAGCATGTGAACCCAGGTAATTTTGAAGTAAATCTTAATTTAATGCCTAAACATATTGACATCTAAAGCCAAAATGTGCTAATCTACTCTCATGATGAAACTTAGATTTAGGGATTATCATAAGAAATCAAGGCAGTGTTAACTGTAGGTTTGGATGAGTGGCTGGGCTAGCATGTGGCCGCAGTGCATTCAGAGACATTTCCAAGAAAATCATGCTGTTGATAGCCGCATATAAAACTGCTTGCTATTCAGAGGTGGTAATTTCCCTAACACACAGAAGTGAGATCTATTCTACATAGGGAATATACAAAGAACAGTCCAGAGAAGTGTGAGACACTAAAATATGAAGTGCAGTTTTCCTTTCATGCTATTTTACTACCCTTGGTATAAACTCCTATGTTCATTTTCAAAATAAAATAAAATAAAATAGGGTTTGCCATTCACAACTCTTGTTACATACTTACAAACCTATGAAATTTCTAGTAACTCAAGGACAGCAAGCATGAAGCCTTCTACAATTTCTAAAGAAATTAGCAGAAGACGTTTAAGAGAGAAGAAGGGATAATTGGTATTCTCTCTAACACTGTATGTTCCACTGAAACAAATTTCCATACTAGTTGCCGCTCAAGTAGCATGGCTGCACACTCAAAATGCTCTCAGCATTTAAACAGTGTAGATCTGTTTGGCATCATTTCTTCCTTACACCAAGGAGTTACTGAGCAACTAATCCCCTAGATATCAATGCTCTCCAGATTTGGGGGTTTGGGGATGGAATGTTTTTAATATGAAAATTCAAAAACATCCTATGGTTTATGTGGATAAAAAAGAAAAATGAATGACAAACCACAGAGTCTTAGTTTTCCTGTGTTCACTGAACAATAGAGAAAAACATTCAAGTGTCAGGGCCAGAAAGGAGGGGGGAGACAGTGGTTTTAACATTCAGAAAAAAAAATGCAAGTCCTCTTGCACAAAGAGCTTGTAGAGCTTGATCTGTAAAGTATAGTTAAATAGCAACCGTATTTTTTTCATAAGCTTCACAAAGCTTCATAAGCTTCATAAGCTTTTCTATCTGTAGCTAATATGAGTCTGAGTATTTTTGAAATCACTACTAGTAATATGTAGGAATGAGAAGAATTTCTGGAGAGACATGCTGTGCTTGCTAAATAGAATTCAAAAATTATTCATTAATTCAGTAATTGCTTTTCTAAAGAGTTTCTGACTCAAGCCATGGTTACAAATTTAAGAGATCTTAAATCCAAGGTGCTTGGTTTGTTACCAGTGCCGTAATTATACTGGAAACAAATCAAGGTGTTTTTACAGCAATATCAATATAAATATTATGTGGTTTCTTCTCGCCATGTAAGTGCTGTTTCCCAGGGAAGAGAACCGAGATGCAGGAGTAAGAAAAGCTCTTCCTGGGCCTGTGTCCTTCCCACTTGAACAATTCTGTGCGCTGGCTCTAGAGGTCACCCTTCATTTACGCTCGGTGACAGAGGTGCTTCATGCTGACACAGAACTCTCTCACCTCCAGTCATGGGCGTTTTGTACGTAGTGATAAGAAGCTCTATTTTGCTTTGCAAATTTTTAATGTCATTCTTTTTAAAACATTCACAGTGAAGACTTGGCAGCTTTTTGCCCGAACTTCTTTTTAAAACAAGTCTTCATCTCAGCATGTTCATCTCAAACGAAAGGTACAGTTAAGTGAATTTCAAACATCCTAAATTATTTTCGAACAGAATGCACGTGGATGACTGACCCACAGCATGAGCTTTGCTTTCTTCTCCCATAACAGAAAATTAAGCTCTAATAACAGGAGGAAATGAACACATACACCCCCGCAAACATGCACACTACTCATTACATTGAAACTCTCATTAGGATGTGGACTATGAGTGGTGCAAGTATTAGAGAGCACAAACACAGCAGATAGATTGGGAAAAGCCTATTTACCAAGTCTTTAAATATGTCTTTGTTTCTTAAAAGTTTTGCCAGAGTTTTAACATATGTGATCTACATTTACTTTAGCTCAGTACATTTGATGGGGGCCTCTGACATTTTTAGAACTTTGCTACAGTGTTGGACAGTAAATTGGGCAGTAAAATCCTTTACCTGACATAGGGTCAATGATGTGGATATCTGCAGTTTGTGGCTCTGTATCTGTGCACTTGAGGATTAGAATGTCTTAGTGCTCCTGAACGTTATTGCACTCCTACTGAATTTAAGGTTGTGGTTTGTGAATTAGAAAGTGGATATTACTTCATACTTAACAAGTATATGGCTGAAAGAACTATTTTTTATTGTGTTGTGTATACATGTCGTATTAAAACCTGGTGTGCTGCAATTCAGACTATACTGTCATGGCTGTTTTAGCTCTTTCAGGCAAACCAAGCAAACCTCCAGAGTCTGTGTGAATTAAAACTAGTTGCATTATTTAGCTAGGTAGTCTGTGTAATATCTGAATTATGACAGAGAAGCACACTGTACAGGAAGGCTTTCACTCCAGTTTGAATTCAAGTTAAACGTCTCCACAAAATCAAGCAGAAATAATGGATAAGAAGAGACCATTCTTGGGTCTTCTCCACAGGCCTTTTAATTACCTGCCTATCATTTTCCTTGCAGAAGCTGTAGGGCCCGTGAAAATGACTGCTGCTGCTTTCAGAGCAGTGCACAGACTCATTTCTTGATTCCTTCAGCCTAGCTCACACGCTTAAACCTCACTGTCTCTGCCTCAGGGTGAGATATTTGAGTAAAACAAAAATATTCTAGGAGCAGAAAATACAGACGAATGGTTAATAACAGAGGCAATCAAGAGAAGACTAGCGAGGCTGAGCATAAACCAGTAGAAAAAAACTAATGTTGTGAGAATGGTACTTATCTTGTGTCAAAAACCCAAGACCATTCAGCAGGTGTTTTTGCCTCTTGTTCAAGGAAATTCATCTCTTGTTGCATAATGAGCAAAAACATGAACAATAACATGTTGTATTGCTTTTGTTTTTGGAAAGTGCCTCTTAAAAAAGACCCACTCCCTGAAGTGCACCTTTGTGTAACTTCTCCACAGATATCTCTCTTTCCCCTTCTTCTTCCCGAAATGTATGTCCACTCGTGAGCCTGCTTTCCCCGTTAGCTGTCGAGCGCGCGCTGGACACGTTCACCACGCGCATTCACACCCGTCTCTGAGCAGGAAGCAGTGGTCGGAATCACCTGCAGGCGCAGACTTGCCGGCAGGCCCTGCGGAAGGTCTCCGAGAGGAAGGCGTAAATGATGAGATTGATGCAAGAGTTGCCGTAGGCCAAGCAACGAGAGATGATGCGGAAGGTTGAGGAGGTGTCGTTCCCCCAACTCTGCCCACATGGTGATGATGCGGTGGGGAGGCCGGGAGAGCAGAACACAGCAGCCACGAGCAGAACCGTCTGGGCAGGCTGTGAGAGACTAGGTTATGTGTTAAATGGCCACAGGACTCAAGAAGGAATTTGGCTTCCTCTTTTGGAACATGATCCGTGTAACCCTGCCTGCTGCCAGGTGGACAATTTGTGACTGTATTAATGAGGATATCAAAAAATTACCTTTCTGCCTAGAAGAACAAGCTTTCCTGACTTTGAGGAAACTCAGACACTAATTCTACAGACAATGAAGTCAGTGCCCAGAAAACCTCAAACAATAAGAGAGGGCATAGCAATAGTGCTAGCCATCTTACACACAACAGCAGAAGTAACGAGGAATATTAGGGCTGTTGCAAATAACTACAGGCCACTGCTGTGGGATAGTGGAATTCACCCCCACACAGCTCTTGCCATGGGAGCCCTGGAGCACTAGGTGGATTGGGAAATAAGGTGATGTTTTTCCAGAACAGTGATGCTTCAAGTCACCTGCTAAGTGGTGGAAGCAGCCCCGGGAAGCAGCTGGCCAGCCCCAGATGTGATGCCCCCCACAGCTGTAGCCCAGGAAGGATAACGAGGGATGGGAGCCACTTCATTAAGCCGTCAGAGAGGGGTAGAGGGTGTTTGCTGCTGGGCTCTGCAGGGAGTCACGGTTTGGAAGCAAGCTAGGTGCTATGGACAGTTTTACTTACTTCTTTGGCATGAAATTTAGTGCTTTGTTTTGGCTGGTGGGGAAGGGCTGGGGCTGAGGAATATGGACAACAAGAGCTCCTGGTGAAGCTGGGGTGTCTGCAGTCCCTCATGAAGGAGATACCAACCAATGTGGATGAAGCTTTTTGCTGGGAGTGCTGCTGTAGAGCTGTTTTCTGGAGACAGGAGCGTATATGTCAAGAACATATAAGAATTCTGTCATTTGAATGAATATAGCAATTTGTGACTAGGTAGCTATCCTTCTTATAAAGGGAATTCTGTACAAGCAGCAGAGAAGCAATGAAGTCAAAATTTGATTGAGAAAGTCTTAGATTTCATTTCAACTTGAGGTTTACAGCTTTACTAGTTTAACTCAATAGTTATACTAATACCTCACTTTCTTGATTTGAAGTGAAAAACACATAATTATTTCCCTAGAAGAGCAGTGTTGGTGGTGTCCAGAGGATGACTGCTGGTGGCCTGTGCCTTTGCTTTGGGGAGCTCTTTCTTTCTTTCAGATAACTCTTCCAAGCCTTCGCAGGTTGACTTGAGTGGGTTCTCCTAGGAGCCGGGGACAAGGGTTCTGGGGAATGTATCTTTTCCAAGGCACAACTGCAGGTTTGGCAGCAGCAGATGCTGTTGGAAGGGCTCTTGTGACAGAGGAGAGCCTGTGGCAGAAAGGCTGAGGATGAAGCAGCACTGGGAGCCTGCAGTGGAGCCCAGGGGGCTGCAGCCCAGCTGCCCAATGCCCCTCATCCCCATCTGCCCTCCCACCTGGGTCCCCGTTGTTGAGCTCTGGCCTCTGCTTCCCCAGCTCTGCTCGAGCTGCAGCAGCCAGAGCAGGAGCTCGGCGGGACCGGAGCTCTGTCCAGCTCTGTGCCAGCCCTGTGCTCGTGGGGTGGGGAGGAGAGGAGGCAGAAAAGCAAGTTCTCATCTGAGGGTCTGGATCGAACAGCCCTTGCTGGAGTGAGAACTTGTGCAGCGCTGGGAGGAAAATCTTTGTTACCAGCTGTGTGGAGGGGGGAAAAGGCTAAAACTTGCTTTTTGTCTGAAAAGAAGGATTTTTTCTTTAAAGTGCTCGCAGTAGAGCACAAAGAGTCTGGATGTGGTGTTTTTGCCCTAAAGCCCTCGGCTTGGCAGCTGGCTCCTGCCAGTTCTTGGATGTCTTCCCAAATTCCTTAGTAGCTCTTGGTTCTCATTGACACGGCCCTACAGAAGCTCTGGGTTCAGCCAAGCAATGCCAGGAGCATTTGGGCAGAAAAATGTTCAGTCCTGGTATGTTGATGAGCTGATGCAATCTTCTCTGCCTGTGGAGGGATAGAGTTTTTTAAAAAATTATTTGTTTTTATTAAGTTTTAATGGCTTAGTTATGGCTTAGTTATTACTCATGATACTTGCTTGAATAAAGAGCTTGTATGTTTTAGAAAGCACTAAGCAACTTGCATTTAATGGTCTGTTTCCATGTACTTGGTAAGGGATTCTGTGAACCCTGCAAGCAATAAGAGGGAACAAAGCTTAGGCAAATACTACCTGTACCTACACGCAGTGGTCTCATGCGGGACCGTGCCCTGCACAGATGAGCACCCGTTTCCAGATTTGAGGTTGCACTGTGTATCCCACAGCACCTCTCCCCATGCACCGTGGTGTGGCTGCCCCGTGTGCTGTGCCGGAGCGCTTGGCACTGTGAATGCTGCAGAACGAACAGAGCTTGGGCAAGCTTGTATGTCACACGAAACCCAGAAAATAAAGGGCAGTCAAATTCTGGTGAGGGGGCAAGAGAGATTCTACACTTTGGAATCTCTTTTCCCCCAAATCTAAACACCTATCTCCTAAATCCCTTGAGGAAGAAGTGTTCTTAGCTCTTAGTCTATCTTCAGCATTTTGCTCCATTTACCTCCAATAACATCATTGGAGGGCTCCCATATTTTCAGATTCAGTAACGGTGTTTTGACTGGAGGACTAGGAAGCAGAATAGTCTGAGGTTGAAGTGGTGCTGGTCTGCTCTAGGATGGGTGCAAAAATTCAGCTTGTTTTCAATAAAGACCTGTGCTGCTGCTCGTCTGACTGCAGATGGAAACTGGCTGGTTTTACTCCAGAAGAAATCATTCACAGTGCTACACACCTGTTTTGTTGAAAACTTAGCCTGAAACCAGGCTTGCTGAGGTATTCAAGGATTGAATAATATATATATATTTATTTTAAAAAGCCCTCCCTATTTCCTCTCTTTCTGCAGCTTTTCAACCGCTTTAAGAGATGCCTTTTCGCAAAGATTCTGTTCTCATGAATTTGCTGCCCAAACACAGTGGGGAGAGAATGGCTGCGGTGGCACAAAGCACTTGCCATGAGCAGCATTGCTGTTTGGGTGGCACGAGAATTTGTGAGAACTTCTCATCACACCCTGCTACCTCCCCAGTATTTTAGAAGAACTTGAAACACAGCTTGATTTCTGCAACTCCTTTTATCCAGAAAGCCCAGATGCAGGAGTTGGTCGCTTTTATTTTTCTTTTAGGAACAGATGGTGTGATGTCTAACTTGCTGGGAGAAGCCACATGGCGTGTGATACTCTGAAACCAGAGTGTTTAACCTGAAATTTAGGAACAAAAAATGCAATATGGATTGAGGTATGTGAAATATTTTGGCTCTAAAAATACTATTATTCTTTAGAATCTTTGCATTGTTTCCTGATAAAGACAACAATTGCTTCAACCTAAGAGAAGTGCTCCATAAAGAGATCATCACTTCATTTCAATCTTGTGAGGTTTTGTTTCATATTGATTAAGATAAAGCATTTTCTCTCAAAGTACCAAAGCCTATGGTCTATTAAGCTTTAAATGTATGTTCTGATAAATGGCTGAAGTTTCAGGAATTTGTATCCTGAGTGTGCCCTTTTTAAAAAGGGAAAGAAAAAAAAAAGGCTTTTTAAGCTTAATGTTGTCTTCAGTTACTTCTGCTTCAAGCTCTGCACTGGGAAGAAGTAGACAATTTAAGACTTGTACTGAGGTATATTTTTGAGATTCACTGAGCAGTGAATCTTCCTTCCCCTTCCCTTCTGTCAGGGAAGGCTGAGCAATAATTACAATGCCAAAACTGATTAAGTCTCTTATAATTGCATATTATTTAAAGCTATCTTTTTTTTTCTTTTATTTAAACAATCATGTAATTTAAAACGATTGTTTCGATAACATAAATCCTGCATCCTTCTCTATGCTGTTCAGCTGCTTGTGTTGGTAGGCTGAAGTCTTTAATAGCTGTTTCTTTTTGTTGGGGAATCATTGCTGCTACTTCCCAATAACTTGAGAATAAGCTTTTGTTAAAACAATCAGTGCTAAACTTTTGCTGCAGTGAAGAACTATTCACAGAAAGAAATGAAATTTGTAATTCAGTGAAATTTTTCTTTCACCTTCAGCAGGGCACTCAGTGAACAGCAGAGTCCCATGGGCTCCACTTTTCTAGCAATGGCAACAAATTATTTCCATGGGAACCTCATGGTTTCAGCCTCACAAAGAAGAAAGTCTGGATTTAAGGTCCTCAAATGTGAAATGTTTGTATGACTCCATGCGCAGCAGACTCAAATCCCCACACAGAGCCTAAGGGGCTACATCTGTGTGATGGGATCTGCCACAGGTGGATGCTCCTATCCTGCCCTGAGCATCTCCTGCCTTGTTCAACTTCTAACATCTCCCCTTCTGTAACAAGATGCAGGCGGCCGCTTGGCCAGCTCGGAGGTGTGAACAAATTTCTGCAACAATTCTCCCAAGTAAGTCTTTAATGTAATGGAGTCTTTGTAATGGAGTCTGGTCCCTTACTGTGCAAATAGCTCTTTTAATTTCTCCTTCCAGACTGTACTGCCAAAACACTGCTTGTTGTAAAAAGAGAGATATAAGTGGTCATGCTGTGCTTAAATGTCACCTTAGCAGAAATGTTTCCACAGTGACTTTCTCTGATAACTGCAGGGGAGCTGTTTGCAGCTCTCAGCTGCTTTATTTGCAAGATGGCCACATTCCTCAATTAAGAAACTTGTTCTTAAGCATCACAATATTTTGCACAGATGATAAAATACCTCAGAAAAAAACAGATTCTAAGTCCACAAATTTTGTCAGATCAAAGTCATTGTCCCATCAAAAAACTGCTTTGAAGTCTCTTAACATGAAGGCTGTGTCCAAGCCTTAACAGCAGTACTGCAGACATTGTAATATCACATGTATAAGATATTATTTACACATAACTCTCAATGTTTTAGGTAACGTG